GGGGGGGAGGAATCTGGAATGGAGGGCTCTGCAGCTTCGTAAATTTTTCGAAATTTAGTTCCTGCTGGACGATCCGGTTACTTTTTTTTCTTTCCTGGCGCAGCTGCGTGATAGCAGATGGAGATCGGTCGCTCTGGATATTTTTGAAAATACCGAAACTTCACCGAAGCCAACCGAAAATGCAGTTTTGTGTTGTGAATATTCGGCTGCAGCATTCTCGACGTATAAGCGCGTGCCTTGTCAATCCTTGTCGGAGATTTTGTTTTCAACAACCCATTGCGATCTTCCACTCCAGTATATGAAGCAAGAGCTAATCCTGACCGTCTCAGCTTGCGTTGCCCTTTGCGATGATGTATAATTAAGATCTACGTTAACAAAGACCGAAACCATTAAAAATTATTCACCGTACAAAATTAGTCGCGTTCTTACAGGCATTGCGAGTTAAAGCAAAATCTGAACGAAACCTGACGAACAATCCTGTGGAAATGGGCTGCACGGCAATCAATTTAGCATGGAGCTTTTCAACTCCGTCTGGTAGGCTTCTGGGGTCACGAATCATCTTATTGATCCCACTGGAGCGGTAAGCTCAAGTAGTTACTGTACATTACTAGTATACCTTAGACCCGTGAATAGAGGACTGTCACAGATCTGAGCTCCTTATCTGAATGTGTTCTTGGTGGACTTCGATAGCGAATCCCAGCATGTAAAAAAAAAATCGCTGAGAGAGCTATTACATGTACAATACTTTCATTCCTTACGGCAAACTTGACTTTAGCTTTCAGAGAGCTGAAGAAAGTCACAAGCGTATACGTTGCATGATTGGCATAGTTTTCAGAATCGCAACTCTGCAAAAACAACCTCAAAAAATCATTTAAGAAATTCGCGTGTTGTGTGTTCCACACCATATCCGCTGCATCCAATCACATCGTCGACGCCAGCATTTATCCATCAACTCGATCCAATTTTACCCAATAACAGCCTCCTCCTCATCTAAGTACGACGTCGTTCTACCGTCCAAGCAACAAAGCACTTCTGCATTCGCTCCCCCCGACACCAGATAAGTATCAATATGTTGCGCAACGTAGCCTCGCTCCGCCGCTCCGTGGCGATGCGCTCGTCTGTGACTGCGCGCGCCTTCTCCTCCTCTTCCGACTACGACGTCGTGGTGATCGGTGGCGGTCCGGGCGGCTACGTGGCCGCCATTAAGGCCGCTCAGTTGGGCATGAAGACTGCATGCATCGAATCCCGCGGCAAGCTGGGCGGCACGTGCCTCAACGTGGGCTGCATCCCGTCCAAGGCGCTTCTGCACTCGACGCACCTGCTGCACACGGCTCAGCACGACTTCAAGAGCTACGGCATTGACGCTCCCGAAGTTAAGGCCAACTTCCCGCAGATGATGAAGGCCAAGGAAAAGGCCGTTAAGACGCTGACTGGCGGCATTGAGTCGCTGTTCAAGAAGAACAAGGTCACGTACATTAAGGGACACGGTAAGATCTCGGCTCAGGGCGAGGTGTCCGTTGCTCTTAACGACAACAAGGGCAACGAGACGGTTAAGGCCAAGAACATCATCATTGCCA